ATATATACACATATATATATATATATATATATATATATATATATATATATATATATATATATATATATATAATTGAGTTGGGAGTGAAACGAGTTGTATCTGCTGTTCAGCTCCTTCCTCCTCCTCGTGACTCCTAAATGTTTACGTTTCATCTCCGTGGTTCTCCTGTGTCGTGTCATCACTTTTTCAAAGCTGCATGTTTCAGTTTTTATCTTCGTCAAGTTTTCCCACACTTTGGGGGACTTGGGTCGAACAGTTTTAGCTGCGTCGGTCATTTGTAAAATTTACTTAATTTCCTTTGAAAACAGTCTCTGCTCTGCTTCCTCCTCCCCCCTCGCTCTGTTCAACTCGTGCTGCAGAGTTTTTTTTTTTTTTTTTTCAAACTTTTATTCAGTCAGTCAGCATTGACAATGAACTGCAGGTGAACAAAATGGCTCCGCAGTGCCGTGAAAGACGCATCATCACGCGACACAACGAATCGATAATGAAATTCGTTGCCAACGCTTTTAATCATCGATTTTTATCGATTCGTTGTTGCAGCCCTAGTTTTTATAATTATATACCAAGAAGCTAAACTTCTTTTTTTTTTTTTCAGACCTCCCACACCAGTACATTTACAAAGTTGAACAGGAGGAACCTGAACTTCCACAGATTAAAGATGAGATGAAGGAACCAGAACTTCAAGCCATTAAAGACGAAAAGGAGGAACCAGAAGTTCCACACATTAAAATTGAAGTGGAAGAACCAGAAGTTCCACACATTAAAATTGAAGTGGAGGAACCGGAAGTTCCACACATTAAAATTGAAGTGGAAGAAACGGAACTTCCACACATTAAAATTGAAGTGGAGGAAACAGAACTTCAAGCCATTAAAAATGAAAAGGAGGAATCAGAACTTCCACACATTAAAGAGGAAGAGGGGGTTCTCTCTATTAGTCAGGATGAAGAGCAGCTTGAACCTAAGCAGGGGACCAGAACCTTTATGTCACGTCTTATTGAGGAAAGTGATCAAAGGGAACCAGAGCCAAACAATGATCAGCTCCTCTCTGAGGACAGAAGCCTCAGCAGAGATGCAGACAGCTCCACCTCAGAGACTCAGAGGAACACTAACACAAGTGTGAAAGCTTTTCAGTGTAACAGATGTGGAAAAAGTTTTAAGTTGAAATCCAAATTAAAATTACATTCCGGCATCCACACAGGTGAGAGGTCACATGTTTGTCACCTGTGTGGAAAAAGGTTCAGACTGAGTAGTTATTTATCAATTCACATGAGAATTCACACAGGTGAGAGGCCATTTTCTTGTGAAACATGTGGGAAAAGTTATTACAGTAGTGGTCACTTACAAATCCACAAGATAAGTCATTCAGATGAGAAGTTTGTTTGTAAAACTTGTGGGAAACACTTCTCAAGCCCCTGTGCATTGCACAACCATCAGTCCATTCATACAGGTGAGAAACGATTTGGTTGTAAATTTTGTGGGAAACGATTCAGAACGCATGAAAAATTAGGTAGGCATATAAGAACCCACACAGGGGAAAAACCATACTGTTGTGAACTTTGTGGAAAACAGTTTATTGATGATTACAAATTAAAGCTCCACAAGATGGTCCACACGGGCGAAAAGCCGTTTTCCTGTAAAGAGTGTGGAAAATGTTTTGCTAAAAAGGGGAACTTAAGGGAGCATATGAAAACGCACACAGGTGAGAGACCATATCCCTGTGAAAAATGTGACAAACGTTTTCCTTGTAAAAGAAATCTGGTGTACCACATGAATACTCATGCCACAGCGAAGCAGCATCCTTGTGAAATCTGTGGGAGGCATTTTACTCGTAAAAATTTTTTGGCAACCCACATGAGAATTCACACAGGACAGAAATCTTATCCTTGTGAAGCATGCAAACAACTTTTCAGTAGTAAGCAAAAGTTGAAGACCCACATGAGAACTCACGCTGAAGACAAACTGTAGCCCTGTGAAACTTGTGGTAAATATTTTGGGTACAGAAGGTTCCTGTATTTCACATGTGAACACGAGCAGATCAAGTCTGGATGTGTTCCAGGCATCAGCTGTAGTTTTTTTGTTCTTACGACTGTATTTGTTTTTATCCCTTCATGGAGAAAGATTCAGTATTTCACCCTGAACTATTCCATTTTATTTTAGTTTATAACTAATGATGAAATAATTTGTGTTTTTTGTTATTTTAAGTTAGATTGTAACAATTGTAAAGATTTAATCCGATACACAAAACCCCAGAACTGGAAAAAGGTGGATTTTCTTTTTCCTATCAATGTACATTAGATGCATCAGGGCTGTTTCTTTTAATAAGTTTTGTATTAATTTGCTTGATCCAAAGACTTGATGTTGTTCAAGTAGAACTCCATGGTTCTCTTTGAGCTGCTCAGACAATCAGTGATTTTAAACTCGAGCTAACAGTTTATTTCTGTTGGCTAGTTGAGCCAAACATCCCCATTTTTCCACAGGGTGTTTAAGTACAAATATATTTTATCTTAAATTTAATTTTTATAATCTGCCTTACTTTATATTTTATTTCTTATACAATACTTTGATCAATGAGTGGGTTTAAACCGTGCTGTTGAGATAAACACTGATTTGTTGTATGAAGTTATTTTTCAGTTGTTTTTTGCCTACAGGCTGAAATCGTAATCGACTGTGTTTGTTCGAGTTGCAGACACGAGGTCAGAGCAGCAGATTCAGTTCCAGTGAGCTGAAAAGTGATCAAGTCTGGAAAAACTTGAATTTATATTTGTTTGTTTTTTTTGTTTTGTTTTTTTGGGTTTGTTTTTTGTTCTTGATTGAGTTCATTCAAATGTTTGTTTTAAAAGATTTTCTTCACTTTCAAAGTTTTTATGTAAACTTATTCTGCGTATGTGAGTGGGATGTATTTTATTTTAATGCTGATTTGAACCGTTGCCTGTAATGGTCAGAGCATTATTCTAATAAAATAAAATTTACTTTTTAATGTTTTCCTGTGTAGTGTCCTAGGAGACATTTTTGCTGCTTTTATAACAGAAGACAAAATTTTCCTCCAGAAACTGCCTGTTGAAAATTTAACTGTTCCCCCTTGGAAATTAACCCCCTGATGCCAGACAGAACTTAAATATCTGAAGACAACCCTAGAGACCAGGATGGTACATTTGTTATATTCATCAGTCCCTGATTTTGAAAGGACCTCTGAAGTTTTGTCTACCTCAAGACTGGTGGAGACACTCCCTGTGACCATGGACAGAACTTAAGACCCATCTCTGTTAAAAAAAAAAACCCTTATTTCCTGCTTAAGAAACAAGGAAACTTCCTTTGAGTTTTATCAGTTTGAAATAAATCTATATCTGGAATCACTGAGAAGTCTCTTTCCCTCAGAGAACACAGGACATAGCATTCAGTCTCATAGGAACTCCCTGATGTTACTAGAAAAACAGACTGTAATCTGAGTATTTTAACATAATTACTTTAACTATGTACCTTACAGCTTTAAGTGTCTCTGACCCACCATTCCTGTTGAGCTTTTTCTTTAAGCTTTCTGTTTTAAATTGGTTTTCTTTTCACTTCCAGCTGAATCATTTGTTAAAAACATGCACAGGGATGTGACGTGTTTAAAAAGTCTTAATCAAAGATCCCACAGTTTAGATTGCTGATGCGATTAATGGAAACTGCTTTAAAAATTTACCTGTGCAGTGAAAGCTAATGGTCTTTATATACAAGGAATGGAATTCAGTATAAAGGTTTTACATGTTTTGGAATTACTCAAAATAAGGTTTAAATATATTCCTTTTGGGCTTTGGGACAGAAATAATTATCTTGGTGCAAAATAAACAGCAGCTCACACCCCCTTTTTCAAAAGCTGTTGGATAAGATTTTAAAATTGAGACGCTCCTTCAAAGAATGAGGTGAGCTGACACTCGAGCAGGAGGGATCGTTGGTCGTAGTCGTTTGTGTGGTTGGAGAAAAGATGCAGGAGTAGCAAGTAAAACATGCAGGATGGTGACCAGTGGCGGCTCGTGGGTTTTTTTTTTAAGGGTGGGCACCATCAAGTGGTCAAAAAAGGTACTACACCAGGAAAAAAATGGATACACAGTTCTATTTGTCCATGAAACCCAAACATCCATTATCTTTACCCGTTTATTCCATTTTGGGTCACGGGGGTCGCTGGTGCCCATGTCCAGCAAGCATTGTGCGAGGGGCGGGGTACACCCTGGACGGGTCGCAAGTCCATCACAGGGACACAGAGATGAACAACCATTCACTCTCTCATTCACACCTAGGGACAATTTAGAGTTACCAATCAGCCTAACATGCATGTTTTTTTTGGTCTGTGGGAGGAAACCGGAGCACCCGGAGAAAACCCACGCATGCACAGAGAGAACATGCAAACTCCACCCAGAAAGGCCCCTGGACCGGGGTTTGAACCAAGGACCTGCTTGCTGAGAGGCAGCAGCTCTACCAGTTGCGCCACCGTGCTGCTCCATGAAACCCAATGAATTCAATCAGCTACAAGCATGTCTTAAAGACATAAAAATCTGGATGACTGTAAATGTTCTCCTTTTGAACACAGACAAGACTGAGGTTTTAGTTTTGGGACCTGAGCATTTTAGGAACAATTTTTTCAGTCTCCCTCCATGGATGGCATTAATGTGGCCTCCAGCTCTAACGTTAAAAATCTTGGTGTTATTTTTGATCAGGACGTGTCTTTTAACCTCCACAATAAAAACGTTACTAGAACCGTCTTCTTCCACCTGCGTAATATCACTAGATGCAGAAAAACTGGTTCATACATTTGTCACGTCTAGACTGGACTATTGCAATGGTTTATTATCTGGGTGTCCAAATACGTCTTTAAAACGTCTTCAGTTAATCCAAAAATGCTGCTGCCAAGTCTTAACTGGAGTTAGTGGGAGAGATCATATCTCTACAGTTTTAGCTTCTCTCCATTGGCTCCCTGTGAAGTCCAGAATTTAATTAAAAATCTTACTTCTAACCTACAAAGCTCTCAACAACCTAGCTCCATCTTATATTTGAGATCTTATTGTTCCAAGTTTTCCTAACAGAGCACTTTGCTCTCAAACTACAGGTTTACTTGTGGTTCCTAAAGCTTCCAATAACAGAGTGGGGGGCAGATCTTCCAGTTATCAGGTTCCTCTCTTGTGGAACCAACTTCCAGTTTCTGTCCATGAGGCTGACACATTGTCCAGTTTTAAGACTTTCCTTTTTGATAAATCCTATAGTTAGGGTTTGCTTCTTATGCTGCTATAGGCTTAGACTAATGGAGGAGGGGGTTCAAACTGGACAGGTTTAGAAATGAGTGTAGGGCAGCTGGGAACCAGAAAGTTGCCGTTCAACTCCAAGTCATTCCCACATGTCGTGGTGTCTCTGAGCAAGACACCCAATCCCCAAACGCTCTCCGGGTGCTTACATAGCTGCCCACTGCTCCACCTGAGTGCATCTCACGTGAGATGGGTTAAATGCAGAGAACTAATTTTGCCATTGCATGGGAACATACGATGACTTCTCAGACTTCACTTCACTAGAGGGACAGCCCAGGTTCTGAGAAAAGTCAGAGTGGCTGAGAGGGTCTGGACATGTGCAAAGGAGGGACAGTGGACATGTTGGACAAACTATGATAAATATGACACTGTCGGGGAGGAGGAGGTTGATGGAGGTCCATGTAGTGAAGGAGGATCTGCAGAGGGTTGGTGTAACAGAGGAGGATGCTGGGAGATGTAGGCTGATGATCTCCTGTGGAGACCCAGAAAGAAGCCACTAGGACAGATTTTTAGCATATTTTAAAATATTAGTCAAAGTTTCTTTATTTATCAAATGGTTTGAAACAATCTTATACTCATTTGTGATTTAAAAACTGTTTGATACAAACACATTATATGCATGTTTGTTTTTTCCTTTTTTACTTTCTGATTTGTTTGATTATGGTTCTAGTTTTATTTTATTTGTTTCATCATGGATAAATGGACAATGAACAATTTTTACAAACATTTTATCGCTATGTTTATCTGTTGTACATGAACTTGAGTTTTAAGTCAGCCTAAAAACAAAATATTAGTTTATATTATCAAAGACCGTTCAAGAAACTAATCTTTGATTAATCAATATGTGTTTTATTTTATATTTTAGATGTAGTCAAGGCTTTTAGTTATCTCTCGTTTGGTTAAGTTATTTTACTAAACCTCAATGATCATATTCTACACTCGTGTTTTTATAGTTATTGTTCTAAGATGCTGTGATCTTTCATATATTGAATTAGTAAAACATTTATCTAAACTTATTCAAAATAAGTTTGTGTACTCATGAAACTAAATAAACTGACCTTAGCCTATACATTTAACTTTGTTGAGTTATTGCTATTTATTAACTGCTCTAACCACTCAGCCAGTTTTTTAGAGCAGTCCTCTTCCAATGCAAGAGTTGGGGGTTCGATTCCACAGCAGTCACATGCCAAAGTGTCCCTGGGCAAGACACTGCACTCCTCATTGCCTCCGATGTGTGTCCCATCCGTGTATGAATGTGATGAAGCACTGGTTATTATTTGTATAGATCTAGATCTAGTAGAGTTCTGTATGAATGGGTAAATGAGAGCACAGATTGTGTTGTAAAGAGATCTCAGTAATTTGATAAGATAGAAAGGCGCTATTTAAGTACAGTCCTTATTTTATTTTTTACTTTTTTAAAGTTAAAGTGCTATTTCTGACGGCTTGAACATATTACAAAATGTTTAATATGGTGACTAATATTTTATCTTGTTTTTTTATATTCAGATGTAGCCAACGAATGGGAATTTGTGCTTTTAAAAATTTTGTCGTCAATTATTAAAATTCGATCACTGTAGATGAAAAACGTATACTAAATGCATAGTAAAACTCAAGAATAATAAAAAAAAATCTTTAAAATGTGAAATTTAAACTGTTTATTCCAATTTAAACTGCAGCTTCTTTGTTTAC